AAATAATTAACAACTTCAGCAAAGTTGCAGGATTTAAAATAAATCACCAGCATTTTTATATACTCTAACTAAAGCCAGCAGCAAGAGAGAGAAAGTGAGAAATTCTATGTAAAATGACTGCAACAATATAAAGTATTTGGGAGTCTACCTGCCTAGACAAAGCTAGGGATTGTATAAACACAATTATAAAACACTTTTACATGAATAAAGACAGATCTAAATTATTGGAGAAATATTTATTGCTGAGCCAATTTGATAAACTGACAATTCTACTTAAGTTAATTTCTTATTCAGTGCCATTCCAGTCAAACTACCAAACAACAATTTTATAGAATGAGAGAAAGATAATAGCAAAATTCATCTGGAAGAACAAAAGAATAAGAATATCAAGGAAATCAGTGAAAAAAATGGTAATGAAAGTAGCCTCCCAGGTCCAGATTTCAAACTATATTACAAAGTGGTAACCACCAAAACAATCTGGTACTGGCTAAGAAATAGAGTGGTTGATCAGTGGAATAGATTGGGTACACAAGATATAGTAGTAAGTGACCATAATGATACCTAGTTTTGATAAATTCAGAGATCCAAGCATTTGAGTTAAGGAGTCAACATTTGACCAAAATTTCTGGGGAAAATGGAAAGCAGTTTGGTAGAAACTAGGCATGAACGAATATCTCACACCATGTAACAAGATAAAGTTAAAATGCATAAATGATTTAGACAAAAGGGATGATATCATAAGCAAATTAAGGGAGTGTGGAAAAACGTACCTCTCAGATCTATGGATAAAGGAAGAGTTTATGCCTGAACCAGAGATAGAGAGGATTGTGGGAAGTAAAATAGATAATTTTGATTACATGCAATTAAAAATCTTTTGCACAAACAAAATAAATGCAGCCAAAATTAGAAAGCAAACTGGAAACTGGAGGGGGGGTTACAGCAAGTTTCTCTGATAAAAGCCTCATTTCTCAACTATATGAGGGTACTGTACCAAATTTATAAAAATAAGAGTCATTCCCCAATTGATAAATGGTCATAGAATATGAACAGGAATTTTTCAGAAGAAGAAATAAAAGCTATCAATAGTCACAGGAAAAAAAATTCCCTGATTAAAGAAATGCAAATTAAAACAACTCTAAAGTACCACCTCATATTTATCAGATTGGCTAACATGACAGAAAAGGAAAATGACAAAGGCTGAAGGGATGAGGGGAAAATAGGAACACTAATGTACTATTGGTGCAGTTGTGAACTAGTCTAACCATTCTGGAAAATAATTTGGAACTACTCCAAAGGGCTATAAAATGAGGCATACCCTTTGATGCAGAAATAGCACTATTAGGTCTATATCCTGAAGATAACAAAGAAAAAGGGAAAAGGACCTATTTGTACACAAATATTTAGAGAGGCTTTTTTTTGTGGTGACAATTGGAAAATAAGTGAATGCCCATCAATTGGAGAATAACAAGTTATGTATATGACTATGATGGAACACTACTGTGCTTTAAGAAATGACAAACAGGATAGTTTCAGAAAACTCTAGCATGACTTTATAGGAATTCATGTAAAGTGAAATAAGTAAAACCAAGATGAAAATGTATACAATAACAGCAGTATTGTAAGGATAATCAACTGTGAAAGACTTGGCTACTCTGATCAAGATAATGATCCAAGGCAATCCCAAAGGACCCATGATGAATAGTGTTATCCACCTCCTGAGAGAGAATTGAACTCTGCAAATTGAATCATACTTTTTTTTAGACTTTCTTAACTTTCTAGTTTTATTTTGTTTGTGTTTTCTTTAGTAACATGTCTAATACAGAACTGCTTTGCCTGACTTCACATACCAAACAGAAGACTTTGTATTTGATATTATATAGAGAGGGAACAGAGTACCATTGGAGTTTAGTGAATGGTGAGTGACATGGTCAGATCTGTGCATAAGGAAAAAATCACTGTGATAGCTCTGTAAAGAGCAGATAACAGTGAAGAGAGAGATACGAGGGAGGGAGACCAAACAGGAGCTATTAAAATAATCCATGCCATACAAGAAGCAATGAGAGCCTAACCTAGGGTGCTGGCTAGGTGAGAAGAAGAGTTGAAGGTGACAGTGAGGCTGCAAATCAGGGTGACAAGAAGAATGTTGATGACTTCAACAACAAAGGTTTTTTTCCTGAAAAAAGCAGAAATTAGGGATGATAGGAAGAATGATAGGATCTAATGAGGGTTTCTTTAGGAGGAAATAATGCATGTAAAGAGCAGTGAGAACATTAGTGTTATACCTGCTATAGCTCTTATTAGGATTGTAAGATATAACATTAAATTCTACCTTTGTTGTTGAGTCATTTTTCAGTTGTGTCTGACTATTCATGACTCCATTTGGGGTTTTCTTGGCAAAGATACTGGCATGACTTGCCATTTTCTTTTTCAGCTCCCTTTATAGATGAAGAAACTGAGGCAAACAGGGTTAAGTGACTTGCCCAAGGTCACACAGCTAATAAGTATCTGAGATTTGAACTCAGGAAAAGGAGTCTTCCTGATTCCAGGTCTGGCACTCTATCCACTGTGCCAACTAGCTGTCTAATTTTACCTTTACCCCAAAATTGTAGTTTCCTTTCCTAAGTATTTTGACTTTGTTTCCATGAAGGCATTTGCATACTAAGAATTGGTATCTTTCTTAGCCTCCACAAATCCCCAAGGTAAAAATGAAGCAGTGCTAAGGAGGGCCAATGATTTGGGGAGATTTTTCTACTTGTCCCGACTGGCAGGGAATCCTCTGATAAGAAAGAGTTAAGTTCAAGAGCACTTGGTCAGGTCTTTATGTATTATTTCATGCATATTATTGTATATGGCATAGTACCCTGGTCCAGCAGGATCAATTAGCATCTATTGCCTGACTGCCAGTCCCTGAAGGTTGGAACAAGGCTGTGGTTTACAGCTGGCACTAGTCTCAACCTTAAAAGGAAGGATGAGGCTGTTCTGGGTGGTTCTAGAAGAAAAGCTGACACTAGTCTCTCAGGGAGGAATTGCGAGGTTTGTATTTTAGATAAGCTCTTGGGTAGAAAGGCAATTTGGTACCATAAAGAATCCCCAAACTGGAGTCAGAACACTTGGGTTTGAAGCTCCCTCTGCTATTTACTCACTTTGTGAAGTTGGGTAAATCACTACTCCTCCGCGGGTTTCAAATATCACTTTAGTAAAGCAGGGGATTAGGACAAAGGATCTTTAAGGCTCCTTCCATCTCTGGACTCCTGATGTCAGACTAGTGACATAATAGACAGACAGACAGACAGACAGATAGATAGATAGATAGATAGATAGATACTTATATTCAGTGACTTTCAGTGATGAAATAGGTTGCAAATAGGGAACATAGTGTTGTTAATATATTATATTGTTATGCATATTATATATATATAACATATATTATTGTGTATTATATATATATGTATATGCATGCATGCAAATGCACATATATTTGCCCTAAATGGTGTCATTTTTTTTCTTCCAAAGGCACCCAGAATAGACTGATTCTTCCTTGTGAGGTTAGGGCTTGGGCCAACTGTCAGCCATGGTCCACCTGGTTCCAATAACCAGGCACTGTATGGCAGATGATAGATGCTAATTAATGCTGTTATACAAATATTCATATATGCATTCATACATACATACAATTAACTTGTGTTTCCTAATTCCTACTTCCTACCTTGATATGAGATATATATATATATATACATATATATATATGTAAAAGGAAATATATATGCATGTATATACATGTGTATGTAAAGGTATTTTTATACATATAGACATCTGCTTACACGTATGCACATGCTTTATATATATGTACATGTCTATGTGTATATGTATTTCACACATATATGTAAAGGTAAAGTAGGACATAGGAAATGGGTTAGCTCTGATTCCTCTTTTTCTTTCTTTCCTTCTTCCAAAATTCTATAGTACTTTTTCTTCCTTTCTCTTTCTTTCTTTCTTTCTTTCTTTCTTTCTTTCTTTCTTTCTTTCTTTCTTTCTTTCTTTCTCTTTCTTTCTTTCTTTCTTTCTTTCTTTCTTTCTTTCTTTCTTTCTTTCTTTCTCTCTTTCCATTAGACTGTAAGCTTCTTGAGGACAGGGACCCTGCTTTTGCCTTTCTTTGTATCCCTGGAGTTAGCACAATACCTGATACATAAGAGACCTTAATAAATATTCATAGACTTTTTTAAATGTCAGTTTTAGTTGCTAACAAAATAGTTACTTGCCTGGACATATCAATCAAATGTTGATTCAGTTAAATTCTATTGAATAAGCATTTATTAAGCACCCATAATTTACAAGGTGCTGTGCTATGTTCTGAAGTTACTGAACTCAAAGAACTTCTAGTAGTCTGAGCCAAACATAAAACAAAGTAAATATTCTCTGTCTTATGTGAGAAGAAGCATGGTGTAGTAAAACGACTAGAATAAAGTCAGAAGTTGGGTGGGTTCCTAGTGAGTCATTTCATTCAAGAAAGTCATTTCCCCTCTCTAGGCTTCAGTTTCCACATCTATAAAATGAAATGGTCGGACCAGATGATTGTCAAAGTTACTTCTACTTCTACACCTTATGAATCTATATTTAAGATAACGAGTGGCCAAAGGTTGGCTCTGAAAGCAATTTCATGATAGATTTTCATCACTTCCCCACCATCATTTAATTGTGACCAGGAACAGTTAGAATTTGGTTCCCAAACATAAAAAGGAGGATACTTCCTTGGGCCAATTAAAGAAACTGACAACAAAAAATAAAGTTGATAATATCAAAGAAAAAAATTCTTTCCTTCCCAGATCAAAGAGAACAAGAGATCAGCTCTTTGGGAGATGAGCAGTGGTTGTTTTCCTGAAACATTCCAAGCATTTACAATATGAAGGAAATGGTAAGAGGCCATCCAACGCTTTGTCTGATGTGACAGCATCTAATCAGATGTAACACAGACCAGACACACAGGAACAATTAGCACTCACCATAAGTCACTAAGCTGTGACCCTTCATTCTTTCTTGATCCTCACCCATGGCCCAGAGCCACAGACTTTGGTAAACAATTCAGATTTCAGCCTGGAAAGTCCTCAGGGTAGAAAAAGCTGAAGGAAGCCGCCAATGCAGACTGTAGTTCAAAAGAAAGATGGACAGAGAGAATTGTGAACATTAAGTATACAGTATAACCTAATTATAGCTCAGTATACATGTGTTGCATGCATAAAGACTGGGGATGAGTTAGCTCAGTGGAGTCTACAGTCAGGTCTGCAAGCTGATTTTCCCCTCTATTATCCTTCACTGTTTTATGAGGAGATACTATTCATTATCTACTAATACAATCCTCTATAGAATTCTACATATGACTTTTAAAAGCTTGAAATCAGTGCTGCTCTAAGCTCCCATGTCTCTCTGCTTGGCCAAAGATCAAGTATTTGCTGATTAAGATTGATTCCAGGATCTTTAGGTCTCCCCACTCAGGTGATGCTTTATCAGTTACTCTTCTGTAAGAAATGCTGATTCATATCAAAACCAATGTCTTTCTCTCTATCTGTTTCTCCTCCATCAGGCTAAATAGCTTCTTTGAATAGGTCTGGTTGGAGCTACCACAGTTGCACATTGTGTCAGTTTCTTATTTTTGTTCCTTCTTTTAGTTTGGGGTTATCTTAGCACATAGCACAGAGGCAATTGACTTGAAATGACTTCCACATCTACATAAACAGTTGTTTCCTGACTGGAATGACAAAGGATAATATGTTTAGAGCTAGAAGTGATCCTAGATGTCATCTTATCCAATTCACTATATTTATAGAGGAGTAAGTTGAAGCCCAGAGAAGTTAGGCACCTTCCTAGTCCCTTGGCTTGTAAGTAGTTGAGCTAGGACCCAACACCTCAAAGTCCAAATCCAATACTCTTTCTTCTCTACCACTATGATTCTCAAAAATGAAGAGGAAAACAAAGTTTAAACCTTTAAACCTTCATTCCAGGAGGGAATATTTGGAATCAAGGATGTGTTGTTACCATCGCAGTAGAGTCTGCTTTTAAGCAACCTTACTCAGTCTCAGACCCCAGAGAAGTTTCAGGAATCATTTTGACCCTTGGGAATTGGAAGCCTGAAATGAGGGTGAAGTGGTCTAACAATTAAAAAGGCTGAAGAAAAAAGGCAGCTGATGACTGACAACTGGGGAGTCTCAGAAAATATACTGTCAGGGAGGCAGAATAGATTCTAGCCTCCCCCAGTACAGATCGGCTCATGGGTCATAAAATTAACTTCAGATTTTACTGTCTCTCCCTTCCAAAGCCTAGGAGATAGCAGGTGCCTGGGACCAGGGAATGGAAAAGAAGGGTTGGGGATCTGCCCCTCACTGATGGTGCCTGGGCCCACTGTCCTATGGCCCTGCAATACTTTATTCTCCATCTGTAACCCCTCTGCCCAACTAGTAGGGCCAGACTTACCCACTGTTACTGTTAGCTTTGGAAGACTAGGGGTAATACCTAGTCATTCATATAACAATCACAACAATAAGCCATAGGAGACAAAACAGCCAGAAATCTAGAACTAGAAGAGACTGTAGAAGACATCTTCCCCAATCTCTTCATTTTACAAATGAAACAACTGCAGGCCAGGGAGATTAAGTGACTTGCCTAGCCTCACACAGGTAGTAAGTGTCAGAGGTAGGATTTGAATCCAGGCCATTTCTTACCACCCCACCACCACCTCCCACCCCCTGCCATATCACACAGCTTTCTCAAAAAAAAAAATAAAATAAAAAAGCTAGCCAAACTTACATTTCTATGGCACTGTAAAACTTCACAAAGTTCTTTTTCATCACTACCTTTTTAAAAAGTACTACACTTTTGGGAAAAAATAGTGCGATTGAGTTCAAATCCTGAGTCAGACACTAGCTGTGTGGCACTGGGCAAGTCACTTAACTTTGTTTACCTTGGTTCCTCATCTGTCAAATGAGCTCAAGAAGAAAATGCAAATCACTCCCGAATCTTTACCAAGAAAACTCCAAATGGAGTCATGAAGAGTCAGGCATAACTGAAACAACTGAACGACATCCTCATTTTACAAATGAGCAAATTGAACTCAAAGATGTTCATTCAGTGTCTTGCTCGGTGCCTCACTGCTAGTTGGTGTTTGAAAAAAATAAAGCATAAAGAGATGGGAAATGGAGCTCGCCTGGAGGAGCCTTAGAAGTTGGTCTTCAAGAGGAGGGGATACGTATTTGCAAATCTAGAATACTTTCTCTTAAGTACCTATGTGGATGGGACAACATTTGTAGCTCCTTCTTGTATGAACAGAGGGAACAGTACCAGGCAAAAATTAAATAAATAAAGCTTTTGGTTTGTATACATGACCTTGGTGTCCTAATGTCATGTGTGAGTCTACTCTAGAACAAAGTTGGACAATGCTCATCTCAAAGTTTCCATTCCTGTCAGTCAAAATGAATTAGATTATCCTTTAAAAAAAACATTTCTTTCAAAAAAAGTTTTTCCTGAAAATGACCATTTTTTCTCCTCCCCCATAGAGATGATTGGCAGCCCACTATCTTTCTTGCCAAACAGTTCTTTCACATATCCTTTCAAAACTCAACTTAGAAACTTAAAAAATGATTTTTAAAAACCTCTTCAGAACTGCTGCAGCTGTCCCCAGAAAACACTGGCACGATAGACTATTTGGATATAGCAGTCCCCGAAACACTACTGCTTTTAATTCAGTTTCATTTCTGCAGACAGATTTGAAGTTTTGTTTGAAAAAGCTATTTTGGTCATTCAGCCTTACCAATTTGTTACCAAAAGGAAAAAAAAAAAGGATTTTTCAAAGTAAGATAGTTTGCCAAGACTTTTTTGAGGAAGAGACCATATGGAAAGTTTTATCTTGAAATTCAACTGCTCTTTTCTTTTAAAAAAAAATATACAGTGAATGAGCCAAAAACAAACAAATCAAAACCTTGCTTAAAATATATTTTTAAACTTTATTGAGTAAGAGTCATTACTTTGAACTCACTGGTTGTCTGAGAACAGTCATACAAAGTCTTATATTGAAAGGCTTTGGCTTCAGAAACTTTCATCTACTGTACTTGGGGGTTAATAAGGTGCTAGTCACAATGTTAAACAACATATAACTCTCAAGCATTTGGGGAGTAAATTTTCACAGTACACTTGTATGTGGTTTTGTTGTTCAATCATTTTTAGTCATATCTGACTCTTCATGACCCGATTTGGGGTTTTCTTGGCAAAGATACTGGAGTGGTTTGTCATTTGTTTCTGCAGCTCACTTTACAAAGAGGAGACTGAGGCAAACAGGGTTAAATGACTTGCCCAGGGTTAAAGAGCTAGTGTCTAAGGCCAAATTTGAACTCAGTAAGATGAGTCTTCCTGCCTCTGGATCAAGCATTCTATCCATTATTCCCCTAGCTGCCTGGTTTATGTTGAGGCAATGCTGAAGATATTATATAGTTAAACCCAATCCTTCTGAATTTAAGATTAACTTTAGTCTGAGGAGTAGGAGGAGTAGGAGTAGCAGCAGCAGCAACAGTAGTAGTAGCAGTACCAGCACTAGCAGTAGTAGTAGCAGTAGCAGTACAGCAGCAGTTGTTAGAGTAGCAATAGCAGCAGCAGCAGCAATAGTTGTAGTTGCAGTAATCTTAATATAGTGGTTATGATAATAATATTATTAATGTAGTAGTAATATAATAGTAGTAACAATACCTCAATAATGATATTGAATGTCAAATGGTTTTGTTCAGGCATATAGATTCACAATAGGAAGGGATCTTGAAGATCATCTAGTATAACTCTCTCAACTTTTAGATGACTAAACAGAAATCCAGAGGCAGAAAAGATTTTGTGCAAGGTCATATAGACAGTAAGTAGGTCTTCTAATTTCAAATCCAGTGTACTTTCCACTACACTCTATGTCCTTAATGAATAATGAAATTTTATTTTTTTAATTAATTTATTTTGATTTTTCAACAATCACTTCCATAAGCTTTTGAGTTTTAAATTTTTCTCCCCTTCCTTTCCTATCTCTTTCCCCAAGGTGGTACACAATCTGATATAGGTTATACATATACATTCCTATTAAACATATTTTCACATTACTCATGTTGTAAGGAAGAATTAGAACCAACAGGAAGGAAGCACCAGAAAGAGGAAACAAAACAAAACAGAAGAAAAAAATCAAATAGTATGATTTGATCTGCAGTCAGACTCCATAGTTCTTTCTCTGGATGTGGATGGCATTTTCCATGATGGAACTTTTGGAAATGTCTTAGATCCTTGCGTTGCTGAGAAGGTCTAAGTCTATCAAAGTTAGTCATCACACAACAACATGGCTATTACTGTGTACAATGTTCTTCTGATTCTGCTCAATTCACTCAGCATCAGACCATACAAGTCTTCCCAGCTTTTTCTGAAGTCTTCCTGTTGATAATTTTTTACAGCATAATAGTATTCCATTACACCCCTATACCACAACTTGTTAAGCCATTCCCCAGTTGATGAGCATCCCAACAATTTCCAATTCTTTGCCACCACAGAAAGAACTGTTATAAATATTTTTGTACATGTGGGTCCTTTTCCCATTTGTATGATCTCTTTAGGATACAGTCCTAGAAGTGCTATTGCTGGGTCAAAAGGTATGCACATTTTTATAGCCCTTTGGACATAGTTCCAAATTGCTCTTCAAAATGGTTGGATCATTTCATGACTCCACCAACAAGGCATTAGTGTTCCAGTTTTCCCACATCCTCTCCAACATTTATCATTTTCCTGTTTTGTCATGTTGGCCAATCTAATAGGTGTGATGTGGTACCTCAGAGCTGTCTGGATTTGCATTTCTCTAATCAATAGTGATTTAGAGCATTTTTTTTCATATGACTATAGCTTTAATTTCTTCATCTGACAATTCCTTGTTCATATCCTTTGACCATTTATCAATTTGGGAATGACTTGTATTCTTATAAATTGGACTTAATTCTCTATATATTTTATAAATAAGGCCCTTATCAGAGACACTGGTTGTAAAAATTATTTCCCAGTTTTCTACTTTTCTCCTAATCTTGGTTGCATTGGCTTTGTTTGTGCAAAAACTTTTCAATTTAATGTAATCAAAATTACCCA